CCAATTACACTCAGTTCTCCATTGATTGTCTATCGTACGATAGGCGTGCCTATCAAATTTCGATGAATTTTTTTGTGCTTTCACGAATTTTTCAGGACACATGGTTTTCTAGCTTCTGAAATACTGCCTCTCTTTTAATTACCACACTGGCTTCTTTTTTGGCCAATATCTGGACCGCAGAAGTTTTATCCTTCGGGTCAAATTCTGCCTTTCAAAAGAAGCGTAAACGTAAACTCTTACGCAATTGCTTTTTTAACGCCGCATGTTGGTTTTCGCATGACTGTTATAAACCGGTTAATAATTCTCTGCAAAACAATGCTGATACTCGATACCTTTATAGAAATGGAAACGACATAAAGACATCACTCTGATGATAAAAAATGGACTGTAGCAATACGTAAGAAAAACCTGCTACGATACTGCGTCGGTCATCACGTGCTTACTTGTGGCTGTTGATTCCATAAAATTTCACAGTTCGTGAGCCTCCGTTTGGGTCAGATCATTTCACTGTTCGGAAAAACATTTCCGTTAGAATATTTCAGCAGAATATTTTTGTTAGACCTTTTCGAAATATTCTCTCAAAAATGAGAAAAGTATTCATGAGCTACTTCTTCATAAATTTTTCGTGAAGATCTTTTTTTCGTTTCAATTCGTACTCGACTTTCATTGCTATTTCTTCACGCTGATAACGTGCAGGTGATAAGCCTTAAGCGTGACATCATGATTTGTGCCGCATCGTGATAATGACTGTTCAATGGTTTCTGTTAGTGGTTAACCTCAGTATTTCTTTCATACGCCTCTACTCGTGCCTCTAATTCCCGATTCCTCGGAAAGAACTGCCAGCAATGTTACATATTAGCGGAAAATACCAGTGACCTGTTAAGACTTCCTTTTTGTCACTGTTAATGAGTTCCAAGCGAAGGTGATTCAGAGGAAGTGGTGCCGTTTAACATGCAAAAGGCCGCTGTGCGAATAAGCACCAGGCCAACGAAGTCTTCCATTCCTCTGGGATTGGAGAATTCGTAAAGATTAGTTTTGAAAACTCCCTTCAAACCATAGAACCAAGGAGCGCTCTAGGCACGGCTATACCAGAATTTCTTACTAGAGGAGTCTTCCTAGGACGTTCTCGGGTCACCACCACTGATACACAAGGCCTTACGGTTGGCCGGACGGTCAGATACCACGCCGCTGCGTTCACACCGACGATGATACCAAGTTATCAACGAGTTTTTATATTGATTTATCTATCACCGATCGTACAGATAGAGTTCTCAAACAGTTTCTCATGTTAGGAAGCTTTGTTGTAAACGGAAGTTGTCGTGTTATATTTTGACACTATTTGAGATTCCACTGCAATAAATTAGTTACACAAATCAAATTGTTACCTCGAAATTCCAGTTTACCTCGTGTTCCAGGTAACCCCTTTCTTTTCCGGTTTTTTCTTTCATCCTTTCTTTCGTTTTTATTTGCTTCTATGTCCATTTTCCCACCTAAGGCTTACCCACATTTTTCATTGCTAGCCGTCCTCCTTTCCTTTATACTTTTTCTTTCGTGAAGTATTTTTTTACAGATAAATTTCTATGAGGTTTTAACAGTCTCTCCGTACTCCTCCTACCCAACGCTGCGAAATTGGGGACTCTTTCGGGATCAGGGGAATGAGGCCCGTTTTTTTCACTGCATTTAGCATTTTGATACCCATGTATAGCTTGCTGGGCTCTGAGTGTGGGGACTAGGTATACTCACGGGTAGCTTGCCAGGCTCTCCCAGAGTGGACATGGAGCTTATTTGTTGGAGGCGACTCCTAACCGCCTCTCATATACTTCCCAGTCACTTGATTGCAGACTTTTAGCCGAATTGACTCCTAGAATACAATCCACATAAGCAAGAACGCACCCACACACGAATGCATGAATACGCTTAGCAAATACAGAAAGCATGTGCCAAATCAGCGCAGCAGGAACAGGGAGTCCATCTCCTGGATTCACCTGCGTCTCAGAGAAGCAAAGGTTGCTTTTGGTCCGCGATTAACCCCCTATCCGCCACCTGGGGACACGCCACGTATCCTCGCGACTAATCGGCTCGAGATCTCTCATATGAGTGAGAAAAGGATTTAGTACGATGGACTACATCCACACGGTAACAAGGCTCATTGAGGTATCGTGAGAGTACAAAACACCGCTCTGGCTGTACAAAGATTTCACAACCAAGGTATCACCATTCTACATCGATATTAACATTGACGTCAAAAGAGGAGTTAGGCAAGGCGATACCATCTCTCCGAAATTATTTACCGCCACCCACTAGAACGTCATGCGAACATTCGAAAGAGACAATATACGAGTGAAAATCAACGATCAGCAGTTAAACCATTTTCGCTTTGTTGATGACATCGTCCTTATAACACCGAATATTAGCCAAGCCGAACGCATGATTGACGATTTTGATAGAACCTGTGGAAAGATTGGTCTTCGACTAAATCTCACAAAAATGATGTTCATGAGGAATGGATTGGTTTTGCATGCCCCACTCAAGCTCAACGGAACAAATAGCTTTGAATGCTCCAGTTATATCTATCTAGGTCGGGAAATCAATATGATGAACGACCTAGCTCCAGAGCTGAGCAGAAAAAAACGAACGGCTTAGGGAGCTTTCAAGAGCATCGAGGATGTAGTGAAGAGAACAAAGAACACCCGACTCCATGCCCATCTTTTCGACACAACGGTACTTCCTGCTCTAACGTATGCGTCAGAAACGTGGTTGATGCGTAAACAGGATGAAAGATCACTCAGCGTTATAGAACGCGCAGTCGAAAGGACGATGCTAGGAGCATCTTGTTCCACGCAACTAAAGGGTGGGATCCGAAGCTCCGATCTGCTTCAACGATCAAAAATCAAAGATGCCGTTCCATACGCTAAACAGTCGAAGATAAGATGGGCCGGACACGTTAATGCGTATTAATGTCAACCGATGGACTAGGGCCGTTAGTGACTGGATTCCTCGGAATGTCAAACGTACTGCAGGAAGACCACCAACCCGATGGTCAGAGTTCTTCACAAAGAGCCTTGAAGAAAGATATGATGCTCGAGGAGTCCACAGAGCGAGCAGAACCTACTGGGCTACTCTTGCACGCGACAGGGAGAAATGGAAGATTTAGTGGCGCCTGCTCGAGTCACTCGACGATCAACGGGATTACAAGTGATACAAGTGATAAATTTCTATCGTGTTAAATCTTTTATTCATTCGCTATGTCTCTGTTTTATAACAATCATCTTTTGTTTGTGTTGATCATATTTTGTACGTTAGAATACCAATATGATTTATGTTATTGAAGAAGGTATAAACGTGTGTCCTAGGGTATTAAACTATTAAGTGCTTTAAACCGCCGACGTCCATGCTGGTTTTTTGATAGCTGATTTTTCAGTGCTAGAGCACTTTTAACCCGGAAGTGGAGAAACTTGGCATTACCACATTTTTCTAGCTGAACGCATAACTTCCAAACGCTTGTTAACCTTTAATATCAAATTTGACTTGATAGAACGAAGTTTAAAAAGTAGCGTCTTCAACTGACAGCATCAAGGACGTGCTCAAAGCAACACCTTGTGTACAAGTGAACAAGATCTCACTTTCTCGGTTCCTTAGTTTGTTTGAAATATGAGCTTTCACGAGAAAACAAGAAATATAAGAGAATGGTTCGTAGAATCTATAAGCGTAAGCTTTTATCGTGGGACATATCTGTAGTAGATACATAGACGATCTTCCTTCATATGCCACACATTCAGCAACAGCTGCTCAATCACCTTGTTGTCTTGAAACTGAAACTATAGATGTAATCGAGTTCGCGTTTAGTTGTGAACTGGATCTGCCGCTTTCGCTTTTCAATTATACGTTGAACGCTGGTCGAGAGTGATTTTTCTTGCAGTTCCGATATAGCCATACTGAAGCTTTCTCAGGTATTTAGCAAAGAATATAGCCTTAGCTTTGAGGTGCGAGTGAGCTTTGCCGTCTTGTAACTAGTCCTTTTTCTGACAGGCAGATATTACTGCTATTAGTTCTGATCGTTTACTTTTTAACACGCTGCAATGTTCACCTTGGGGCCGGGTGTAGCGCAATATGCAGAGGTGCCCTGCAATAAACACTGAATAAGTCGCTGGTTCCATCTCGCGTCCTAGGCTCACCAAGCCATCCATCCCTCCGGTGTCGGCAAATTGTAACCAGACTTATTCTGGGAGTATAGCACCACTGAATCAATACATCGGTAGGCCATCATAAGTTATTGTACAGATGAGATACTCATTCAACCATCTCTGGGAAGCTTGATGTTGTCGAATTCATGGCGCTTCCCTCGGGAGTTTGGTCAAAGCCGAACGGTTCACTCTTTTTGGGTCTTTAATCGCGGTGAGATAAGTAGATTTTCCTCTTATTTAGAAAGATATGAACCCAATGCATTTTATTCGTTTCAATAAAGTTAATTGTAAGCCGATATAAACATACATGGTGCATGTGGAGCAGGTGGCGCAGTGGTCGGAATCGTCCTTCAATATAGATACGGGATTGATCCCCGCTCTCGTGACTCACCACAGTTAGCCTTCCATCCATCTAGGGTCGGCAAATTGTTATCAGACTTGTCTTGGAGAATTGCAACACTGGCTCGATACATCGGTAGGCCACTGCGAGTCATTGTTAAGGCCAGATATGCATCCAGTCACCTCCAAACCATACTTAATAAAGTTGAATGCATGGCGCATCCAGCAGGGATTGATCCTGAGCTTTATTCTTTTTATATACGTATGTATTTAAGATTGGAAGGATATATCGACTTCGGTCAAATATGTTATCTAAAGGTGTATGTCTCTCTATATGAATCAAATGTTCGTAACTTCGTTACTGAAGTACGATAAAGAACCGCTGAAAAAGCGGAATGAGAATACTTTAGTAGGTGCCTCGTAATTTTAACGATTTTGCTGATAGAGAGCAGGAAATTCATCTGAACTCTTCTGTAGATGCCCAAAGTTGCTATTGCTGGAGCCGGTCTTGTGGGAGCACTCAATGCCTGTTATTTTGCTGAACGAGGATGGGATGTCGAAGTGTACGAATATAGACGAGGTATGAACTATTCACTCGTTTGATTCGTCTACTTACTTGTGTCTTTAGTTATCACATTCTCTACTAATAATGAGTAACCATGAAGAGTGAATAAACTAGTTGTTCTATGTTTCATTTAGTGAATTTGTTGTGAGAATGGATTCACCAACTCTTAGATGTTCGGTGAATGGTACGGGGCATTAGTTGTTATGTCTGTGCTATTTTCATTTGACGCTGATAACAATGAATATTTTGTCTACCTAGAAGGGATATAGGGCTTACCGGAGTTGGCACTGAGGACATCGACGACTCTATTCACATGAAGTACTGTAAGACGTCATCTCAACAACCTGTCCTCGACTAAGCGATAATTTCCTATTTGGTCCATATTTTTAGTTGTGTGTGTTATTTAGTGATACTATCGGTAAAAAAATATAGACGACTTATAAACTATTTACTCATTTAATTCCTGTACTTGCTTTCTTTTAATTATCATATTTCTTCCCAGGATGGACTGTCTGTTAACCTCGGCATCAGTTTATTAATGTTTCGTTTTCTTTTGCAGCGATCGCGAGGTTGTCATACTTGATTGCTGCAACAGTAAACAAAACATTTATCCTGTTACTTTTTACTGATAATGAGTGGCCCTGACGAAGGAATAAACCAGCATTTCTATGTTTCATTTAGTGAATTCCTTGTGAGCGATTTATCGACTAGCTTTGCTTACCTTACTCACTAACCTAATTTAGTCATCAACTAAACGATGATTTCCTCTTTGGTTTATACTATTACTTGTATATCCTATAGAAGAGATATAAACAATTTATTCATTATCACCTGTTCCTAGTCTTGACTTTTGCGGACTATGAAAAAGCGTTTGACAGTGTCAAAACGAAGTAACAGCGTTCAGCCACCAAAGGTTGGACCCGTCCTACGTAAGAACTCTGCTTTACTATTATTGAAACTGAGCATGAAACTATAAAAAAAGAGTTCCACAAGGCGATAGCATGGTTTTAATGCCGCACAGCATTGGCAATGAAGTAGCTCGATTGGAATGAGAAAGGTATTGATGAAAAATTGCTTTCAAATCTTCGTTTCCCCGACCACATCATCATCTTCTCAAGAGGTAACAACGAAGCAAAGGCGATGATCGGTGAGCACAAAAAGGTGGGAGAAAAGGTCGGACTATGCTTAAATAGGACGAAAAAGCAGTTTGTGAAAACCCATGGTGCTAACGCGAAGACAGAATGGTTCTTTAAATGCAGTAACCATTCCGTACGTACACCTTCAGCGTTCAGTGAACATGGAGAACAGCAAGAAAGAGAAATTAGAAGAAGGAGAGTAGTATAGGCCGCATTGAGGCCTTTCAAATAGGCTACCGACCGACTAACACCCCAAAATGCTCACTTTGTTGATTCAACAGCCTTCCCAGCGCTCGTTATGCAGTAGAGACGTAGTCTGATACTTCAACTACGTCAGGAATATTGCGCACTGCTCACAGAGTGCTTCAACGATATCTTCTGAAATATAATCGGCACTCTCAATATCTGGCCGGAATGTGAAGCTCTGTTCTTTGAAATCTAACCTATGCTTGAGTACCAGGAGAACACTCATCGGTAACGAAGCATAGGCGTGCTGGTCATATAATGAGAAGAGCAGTCGACATATGGATGAAAAGAGCTGTAGAGTGGATTCCACAAGAAGGCAAACTTCTCCCAGGAAGACCACCAACGCGTTAGGTGGACGTATTCTTAACTGAAGTCAAACATCGCAGCTGCAGTTGGTTTACAAATCGCAGCATGGGACTAGGACCCACTACCACGCTCCAATCCAACCAACACCATGGATGACGAGTGTGAGTCAAAGAAATGAATGAAAAATGTCCTGGAGTCCGCACAACTCGTGAAGACGGTCCGTCCAAGTATCCAAGTGACTAATTAAATCTTACTTAATTCTTTAAATACTTAAATACTAGGATGGGCGGCCTTTACGTAGGAATGGTAATTTGCCAACGTAGCAAGATTTTCTTTCTGAACAGCAATGAGATAATGGCTGCGCACACAAGTTATCACGGCGGGCAGTCTTCCAGCATTATGGATCGGAATCACATTTTCCACTTTGAGACTAACTTTGTAGAGACGCCAGCTATTCCTAGCACTTGTTTATTCTAAGACAGGTTTCCGGATTGAAATTTTTAGACGGTCCTCGATTTTTGAAGACCTTACTTGATGATGAACTCGTCGTTTCACATTGCATCTCGACATGCAGGAACGTCTTATGCTATGCTAAGATTGGTTTTTAAGACATACAAGTTTTTTCCTAATGCAAAAATTGGATAGAAAAAAACAGAAGTATACGGCCTACTAAAAAACGACTTTCATGCTTCAGATATACGTACTATGGAACACGTGCCCGGCCGCAGTATTAATTTGGCGTTATCGCACAGAGGTAAATGTGCTTTGGAAGCGATCGGGTTGAAGGATTACATTGTTAATCAAGGTTTGAAAAACTTTCAAATCGTTTAGTTATCTTCGTAAATGCCGTTTTGCATCTAATCTTATCTTAACTGGTAATTACTCTGCTGATAAGCTTACATGAAGATAGGAAGAACCTAGTCATTTCACCGAGAAAGAAGAAAAGAGAACCATCGGATGAGTTCAACTCATTTGTGCAGTGTTCTACCACATCCGTTTCGAGTCAACACTCCTTCGAAGTATAACTCGTATGAAATGCTGAGATATTTGCAAAACTCCGGACCGCAAGTGTATGCGGTGGGGAACGAACACGCGCTGTTGTCCTTACCGGGGAGCAGCGCACTTCACCACCACACCATCCGGGTCCTTCATCTTGCCTGTCTCTCAGCTAGTTCTATCAATCTTTTTGCCATCAGCAATCACCCGTCAACAGGATTGATCTGGAGAGCCCAAATCGGCATTGAACCCCGTTAAGCTGAGGTAATAGTTATAATCACAACCTTCAACTTTTTAATTTACGGGTAATTGCTGATGGCAGTGGTCGATAGGACTAGCTGAGAGACATTCAAAACGAAGAACCCGCATGGGGTGGTGGTGAACGCGTTACTCCCCGGAAAGGATAATGGCGCGTACAATTCCCCACCGCAGACACCTGAGGTCCTGAGTTTTGCAAATATCTCAGCATTTCATACGAGTTATATTTCGCAACATACCCTGCCATTAAGAAGAAAAAGGTAGTAAATAAAAGGGTTAAGACTCCTTCGAAGGTTCAGAAATCGCAGTAGATAGTCGTCTTGTGGAAAGTCGACTTAAATCACCGACGTTTTACTTTGTAGAAAATTTAAAAGAGTTGAATGTAACAGACGCCTGGATATTGTCAGGTAATGAATACAAAGGCTTTTACAGGGGTGGAACTGCATGCTCGTTTGGTTCACGGCAAAGACGGGAAAACGTTCAGTCGACAACCCTATGGGCAACCTGGCGAAGTGAGTAAGTCTAAATATGCCTAGAATATGGAAAGCGAATTGATTCTTATCTTGGTTAATGCTTTAACCTTATAATAGTCGACAAAAACAACAGGAAACGGGTACAGTGCATCTCTTGGTTGGGCAAAAATGAGACCACTTTTGAAGGAAATTCTTGAAAGACTTTTTAATTTTACGTTTAACGAGCAGATATGAAAAATGATATGTTTAAAGGACATCATTCGACTTTCAGCATATCGTGTCGATAAACCGCAGACACCTTAATGAGGCGATGATCACTCAAGCCGAAAAGAAGCCAAAAGTGAAGTGAGTTTGCGTGCATGGCGAAAACACATGTCGTGTACAATTTGGATAGACAACTCCTTTTAGTAACACATCCGTCAGCGTAGTTGTTAAGATCGTCCTGATTTATACAAGCGGACAGGTAAAGAAAACTATGCGAATAAGCAATGCGCAGATCATTCTGAGCATGCAGCAAATGTGCGGAAGTTTTACTTGGTAATTGCGTTTCAAGGGCTCGCGTGTAGTGCAATAGTTAGAAGTGTGCTGCGGTACACATAACGTCGATGGTTCAATCTCTCATTCTGCAGAATGAAGCCATCCATGCGTTGGTATCGGCGAAATGACACCAAAGTTATCTGGGAGGCTAAAAGCAACACTTAGTCCATAAGTAAGCCCTTCAGGTATTTTCTAATCACCTCTGGGAGACAACGAATGGGATCAAATGCATGGCGATTTCCTAAAGGTGTTAACAACGTCGAATACGTTCTCCTTCGTCGTTCGAACCATAAAGTACTAGCTACTTGAGAAAATATGCTTTTCCGAATTGTAATTAGCTATATTAGACTTATATTTACAGATTCTTTTTCGAACATAAAGTACAATCGGTCAGTATTGAAAGGAAGGAACTGATAGCCATTAAGTAAGTTGCTAATTATTACGTTTCCGAACACATATTGAACACTTTCGTTCGATTTCAGAACTGGCAATTCAAGAATACCAAGGCCAGGCAACATTTCAAGCAGGTGGGAAGCATTGGCATGTTAGAGCTTCACACTAAGTGCTGATAAGTTTAACGATTTGTCCAGGGAGCGGAGTATTTAAATTCGGAATAATTGATTTCGTATTACGTATTTTTTCTTTAATAAGCTTACACGAGGTTGACAAGTAAAAAATATATATCAACTTCCATACAATAACACACATACAACACAACCGTAGCTGACGTTTCGGCAGTATCACCTCCTTCAAAGCCTGGAAGGGTACACTAATAGGCAACTTACTAGGTCAAAAGCTTCAACAGCACAAACAAAAAGATGGGAATTTGAACGATAATTACAAGATATAAGGCTTCTCGAAAAACCCATCGCTTTTTTTACCCCACTAGGCACGCATAGGATACAAAAGCATAGCGGAGACGATTTTGATGTAAAAGTCGCTATCCTCGCACAGGTTCCTTGAACACCAACGCACAAACTTCTCGAGGCTTTTTGGATAGATGCCAAAAACCCTACAATGAACAGCAGAGAGGAATGCCCCGAGATCACAGGTGATCTCGCCACCTCGCTCCTTACCTTCATACCGGTCGTTGATGTGGGGTGGTGCAGTCGTCAACCATATGCAACTCTGAGCGGCTGTTCTTCCTCCGTGGAAGACAGGTGAAAAAAGCGGTGAGTTTTTCGAGAAGCCGTAGATCTTATAATTATCGTGCAGATTTCCATCTTTCTGTTTGTGCTGTTGAAGTGTTTGACCTAGTGAGTAGTGTATTAGTGTACCCTTCCAAACTTTGAAGAAGGCTATTCTGCCGAAACGTCAGCTACCGTTGTGTTGTACGTGTTATATTTGTAAGGAAGTAAAGGTGTACTTTTATTTATATGATCTTATAAACTGATCTTCTTAAGCTGACGCGAGGTTGGTACAGATCTTCGTTGTCGTTGTCGTCGTTTTTGATGTTGTTGCTCGATGGCTGACGTTTCGGCGACTTTGCCTTCCTCAGAGCCTGGACGTACTTTATGTTAGAATACTTTTTATTATTCGGTGGAAAAGAAGGTTAAAGTATTAATGAAGATCAAACTTTCAAATAGACATCATATTGAACAGAAAGGCCACTCACCGTGATGTTACGTGCGGGACTGTCTCCTTCCTCAGAGTTCCTGTACCAACCTCGCGTCAGCTTAAGAAGATCAGTTTATAAGATCACATAAATAAATATATCAACTATCTATGCCGAGGTTTACAGAAAGTCGGTCTTTCGAGTTATTAAAGGTGTACTGTTTAACAACCTCGCGATTGCTGACAGAGAAAAGGACGAATTCATGATCCAGTGCCGAGGTTAATAGAAAGTCGATCCTGGGTACTATATCAACTTCGTCTATGCTTTTCAAAGGAAGAATACATGTTGATTAGTGATACCTAGTTTAACGAGAAATCAGTTTTAAAATATGATTTCTTATTATTTTCACTGATCAGTTGACTAGGGGCGATCACCTGAACTACTCGATTCGGGCTTAGAGTTTTTCGCTACCGTAATCCTTTTCCTGGTCTTGTACAATTTTATGCAGTGAGATGAACCGCTAATATTTCTTTCTTTTTCGGTTGATTTATAGTGGAAAACTGCTGCGTTATTTTTCTTTACAATTCAAATATACGATGGAGTTGTAAGTCATGTTGTAAAATACCTTGTCTTCTTGCAATAACCAAGTTCCCAAAAAGGTGTCGAAACTTGGTGTTTGGTCGAAATATGCAACTAATTTTTGTCAGTAGTAAAAGCTCTTTACTTTGTATGTGTTTTTTTACAGCGTGAACGATTCCGAAGTCCATGTGAAAGCAGATCTCATACTCGGTTGTGATGGAGCATACTCGGCTGTGAGAAAAAGCCTATCCAACTATCCAGGGTTTGCCGTCGTTTTTGTATAATCTAAGTCATTCTATGTCTGATCTATTAATCTCATTTTGTTGAACTTTTCGTAGAACGGACTTCCTTACTCGCAATTCGATGATTTTTCTAATAATTCAGATTTAACTACTCGCAAGAGTACATAGCACACGGTTACATTGAACTGAACATCCTGCCAAAAAATGGTGAGGTACGTAAGCCGTTAATCCCTTGCAACTATCGCCAATGTTTTAACTTTTTGTTTAGTGATTACTCTTTTTTATGGCTGGGTAATATGTGATGTACAGCCACAAAAATTCCATGATATGAGCAGAACTCATAATCTCATTTACGCTTCGAACCCTCGATTATCCTTGCCAAGGGTTCATGTGCTGTCTTTCACACCACTTTTGCAGTTTTGGATTAACTGTGCCCGATGACGATTTGCACTCCCTAGATCATTCTTGTTGATGGGTGATTGCTAACTGAACCGATAAAGGAAAAAAAAACTGGCTGAAAAACAAGGGCTTCGGTTGGTGTGGTGGATAGCCTTATGTGAGGTAATCACGGGCTCAAAGTCCAACTGATGTTGCGAGTTTTGTTCATATCTCAACATACTTGTTGTTTTATTGGCAATATCAACATGGATAGAGTGATGAGAGTGAATATCTTGCGCTAAATATTGTGCGATACAACAATCTACTCATTCTTAATCTTTTTTATTTACTGCCTATTCTTTTTAACTGCAGACTATGTTGTGAAATATAGCTTCTATAATGCTGAGATATTTGCAAAACTCCGGACCGAAGGTGTCTGCGGTGGAGAACGAACACGCTATTGTCCTTTCCGGGGAGTAACGCGCTCACCACCACACCTTGCGGGTTCTTCGTTTTGCAAGTTTCTCAGCTAGTCCTATCGACCACTGCCATCAGCAATTACCCGTAAATTAAAAAGTTGAAGATTGTGATTATAACTATTTCCTCAGCTTAACGGGATTCAATGCCGATTTGGGCTCTCCAGATCAATCCTGTTGACGGGTGATTGCTGATGGCAGTGATCGATAGGACTAGCTGAGAAACTTGCAAAACGAAGAACCCGCAAGGTGTGGTGGTGAACGCTTTACTCCTCGGGAAGGACACTAGCGCGTTCGTTCCCCACCGCAGACACTTTCGGTCCGGAGGTTTGCAAATACCACAGCATTATAGAAATCTACTCATTGTTTAAAAGAATGGCCTAAGAATTTCCATTAAACGTTCGTTTGCTGAATATTTCCCAAGTGCTTGAAATATGTCTCACTCTCAAGTTTGGTTCAATTTCCATAAAGGAAATAATGCAGCCGTATGCATTCTGTTTCGCTCTTCTGTTTCCATCAAGTTCATGTTGTAGGGTAGTATTTAGCATTTTTTTTTATTTTGCACCGACTGAAATCGTTGTGCTTGTTCGGCTTCTACTGGAGGATTCCTTCTGTTCTTTAAGAATTTCGATAAATCCTTATCAACTCGACTCTTCCTGAATTCCTGAGATAGTCGTGTTAAGGCGTTCCCAATTCTTTATCCATGAAATTCGTCAGTTTTTAGGGATGGAAGAGTGCTAACTTACTTCCTTAATCTATTAATCTAACACGAGGTTGATAAAGATGTTTCTTCGGCTAACGTATCGTCGTCTTCGTCTTCCTCAGAGCTGATGCTCCTGGTCGATGATCGACAGTCATTCTTCTTCTCAATGCGGTATCTTTGTCTTCGTATCCACTCGAATCTTCTTCAGTGGAGCACCGCTCTAATGAGGCAATAAGGCCTCGGGTGAGGGAAAGTATTTTGAAAGTGCACAAGTGGTCGTTTGGAGTCACCTCTAACAAAGAGATTTTATGATCACTCTTAGGAAGCACTGGTGGTCAACCATGGGTGTTTTTCGTTGAAAACTTAGAACGAATGAGAAGATTCTCTTGTCTCCCAAAGACCCTGCGATGCGGAACTATCTATTTTGTTGGAAGCGTTCAGAATGGGACAATGTGTACGGACCAGCCATCTTGGACGTTGCTGAAGCAAAAACGTGCCACATATCCAGCGAAATTTTCGATAACAGAAGACAGTTTTTCCTAAGAGACACGTGAAAACAGCTGGCTTAATTGGCGTTCTCATCGGACCAAAATTGGCCAGAAATATTTAGCTCATTAAATAACTATGGAACAAGATATAAATATTATAATGCTGAGATATTTGCAAAACTCCGGACCGCAGGTGCTTGCGATGAGGAACTCCCCGGTAAGGACAATAGCGCGTTCGTTCCCCATCGCAAGCACCTGCGGTCCGGAGTTTTGCAAATATCTCAGCATTATAATAGTTATTTCGCAAAAATACCTTGCCGTAAAAAAGAATAGGCAGTAAATAAAATGGTTAAGATTATGGAACAAGATGGGAAAACAATTGCGAACAATTTGCCTATAGGTGCGCTTCGATGGCTTTATATTGAGTCACGCACCACAGGTTGCCCTATTTTCCTTAATCTTTACTAAAGCGATGATGGTCATAACCCAAAGTTCTACAAAGGGTCAGGCCAGCCTCTTTCGTACCAATTTATCTATGCGAACGAAGGGAACTATGCAAAATCCACTGATAAATTTTCAAGAACTATGATTTAGTAGGATACGTCTACTATTTTGGCTAGACTAAAAGAAATATCCAACGAAAATGATATTTTAACATGGGACTATACATCCCATATGCATTTACAAGTTGAGAAAATGATTAAAAATAAAATGAAAAATTTATTCCCCACTTAAAAATAATTTAAGTGGGGAATAAACGCCATTGCAGAAATATCCGAGGTATTTGCTAATGTGGAATGGTAGGTCTTCGGTTCACTGCAAGGCAGTGTTCATAGTGATTGATCTTGCTCCAGGTACTAAATTCAGACTCAGCAGAATGGCTGTATATATGACTCAAGCTACGTATATGTATGTTGATGGAGTAGTCAGCATGATGGACTACTTGGTTCGTGAACTCGACACTACGAAGTGTAGTGATGAGGACAAAGAACATCGTTTCAATTCCAGAGTACACTGGGCCCCGATGTACCGTGTCGGAAGCCTCTACGTGGGTGCTAACATTGGCAGTAGTGCTACATCCACAAATATTTCGTCAGTTGGGTCGTTGGGTAAGCTGGGTAGGAGGGTATGTGAACGTTACAACTGGGATACCACCAATTCGACGGTTAGACCTCTTCACAATGTCGTATGCAGAAAAGTATGGTACGCTTAGTGCTCCTGTGAGTGCGGAGCCCACCGTGCTATTTTGTGCATACGGTTGAAACATTGCTCGCAGCCGCTCAAGTCATTTAACGATCAGCAACAGAACTAATGATAAACGTTATTTAGGTAACCATTTTTTCGAGTTTTCTCAAACTCCAGAAGGACTGCAGAGCGCTTTTCAACCTCATTTCTTAGTTAACATTTCGCCTCTGGCTTATTGGAATTTTGCGTTATATATTGTAGTACTAACTCCCAAGTCCGACTTTCTATTAACTTCGACATTGATCGAATAATTCTTTCTATTTATGTTCAGCAAACGCGAGGTGCCATTTTATTTCTTTATTTACGGACAATTCGGTAACGATAATCGAAATACCACCGAGTAATCTAAGACGCCAGCTAGTTCGTAACCGCCTGTACGACCTTCTACCTACAACGCAAAATTGCATAATTTGCCCCAATGGTAGAGATGGCGACTATATGAGTTCGGGTACAGTCTATCTGATCTCTTGTAAAGTGTGCGGGGACGAATACGTTGGCGAAACGGGTAGACCAATCTGCGTACGTATAAAAGAACACCTAGTCAGCAAACGTAAGCCAAATACTCCACTAGGCACGCATAGGACGCAAAAACATAACGGAAAAGATTTTGAAGTAAGGGTTACGATCCTCGCGCAAGAATCGAGAACACAAGCGCGCAAAACTCTAGAGGCATTCTGGATTAATTCCAAGAATCCGAAAATGAACTCCAGGGAGGAATGCCTCATTACCACGCGTGATATTGGACAGTATATAAGCCTGTTATTCTGATGGGAGGAGCACATTACGCTTCCATGTGAATTCTGTGCGGTCGGTCTTCACACGACATACTCAGTGGAAACCTCATAGAAAGCGGTAAGTGTGCAGAGTTGTGTTAAATATGGTTGAAATCTTGGTTTAGCGTTTTCTCTGTTTGGTTATGGAGGTGTTTGGCCGAATAGATTGCTGTCAACTTGACCTTTCCAGGCTCTGAGGAAGGCGAAATCCGCCGAAACGTCAGCATGTCCGTAAATAAAGAAATAAAGTAGCACCTCGCGTTTGCTAAACAGAAGTAGAAAGAATTATTGTAGTAGTGTTTATATTTATAAATATGGAGGTAGAGAGAGAGAACAGTATCAGGAATTTTTTAGTTTGCTGATCAAAAGTATTATTTCTTCTCATCAAGTTATCTATAGTATATTTTCTTAAGCGATGAACATTTAGTACGCTCTCGAGCCAAACGTTTTTCACTTGTGGCCACGAGGTCACTTTACCTTGATAGCCTTGGCGAACCGTGACAAAACTTTTACAGGTGATTGGTTTTTCCTTAAATTTCGAAAAACTGCATGCAACTAACTCACTTATGAGGTTTTTGGACGGCCCGTCAGAATGAGTAGTGCGGACCTCAGCACGCCTTCCATTCATTTCCTTGTGTTGCGGTCATCGGCACCTGTGTTAGTTTGCTTCGATTATGCACGACTGTAAAATCATGATCATTGAAGCGTTACAGCTGCGAATGTAGTTAATTTATTCTAGCTGCAAACATTTCTGCCCAACTTATTAGTTACCCAATCTGAGAACGCTTGTCTCGGTTTATTTTCTCATACTGCTTTTCTTTGTCTGCCTTTCGTCAACTCTTATCAATAGATGATCGACCTATTTCTGTTTCAATTTGATTTGTATTCTCTTAGATCTCGAAGGTGAGTTAGATTTTCTTGAAGGGACTTGAACTGTGGAGTTCGAGAAAACTTTGTGCGTGCCATTTATATCGTTTCAACTCCATGTAGGTGACGCAGCAACTTTTCGATATTCTGGCCAATCTACGCACCTCCTGGATGACACTTAGAGGATAGCTGAGTTAAAAACGCGAGCGCCGAGTTGCAAGATCTTTACTTTGTCGCTGGCTTCTGGCTCAATTCCTTCTTCTTGTTGTTCTCTATGCCCAGTGTACTTCTAAGGGATAACTTCGACCCGATCCTCAATTAAAGAACCAAGAATCATGCTATCCAGTAAGAAACGGGAAATGCGCTGCCACTCGCATGACTTTTGTTAGAAGCGGGTGGTTCACGTGCATAGAGTAGATAACGGGAAAGAGCTCTGAAGAATGACGTGACCCACACAAGTATTTTACCGATCAATTAACAAAACTGAGGCATCACTACCAACTATTTTTATCACGGAATTAAAGCAAAAATGAAGCCATCACAAATTTATTAAAGCTTCATTAAGTAATTGCAATCATGATTTTATCCAGTGACGATATTCGCGCCATTTTCGGTGTTCGAAGAGGAAATGTCAACGCCAGAGGATGTCGAGTCGTTTTTTAAAGAGAACTTCCCCGATGCGTATGAACTGCTTGGGAGGTGTGTAAGAAGTATTTAAAAATTTATTCATATACTTCAAAGAAAATATTTGGGATAATGATAAAAATTTGACAATTCAAAAGACCGACTTTCTAGAAAAAGATAAAAATTTGCTTATTAGAGAGACCAACTCATTCTGATAATATTATTTATTTCCGGTTTCCCAGATACATGCAGGTTTTCCAGAGATCATCTGCTCGGCATTTTCCGTTCTGTGCGTCCACAATCACTCATATCTATAAAGGCATGTTTTAGTAAAATTTTAGGTTTACGCATAAGCATTTACTTATGACATAGGTTCATTTCTAACCATACTTCTAAAGGGACACTCATTTGGAATAAAGCCAAGACATTAATTCAAAAATAACCGAAATGTTGTCCAAATAGGGATAGGGTGTGAGCGGTGATAATTTTCTAAAGGACAAAGCACTAAATATTCTGCGGTGCTCTATTCCTTACGGGACCGCTTGCATTGGGCTTTATCGAGCCTACTAAACGTGTCTGAATATGAATTTGGCTTACGCAATAACTTGTATGGACAATTAAGTCATTGTTTTTGTCATCCGAGAAAAATCGTTATACAAGTTGTCGATCCTGAAGCGATGACAGCTTGGCTGTACTAACTACCTGATGTGTATTGTAGTATACCTCTACCACTATTTTACGCCAACAAAAAGCGTGGATGTGGTGTTCTCTTCATGCCCACTGGAAGAATTGTGTTATGTCGCTGCATTCACAAATGATATAGACTACTATTGCAGGGATTTTTGCTTTGCACCTCTATTCTCGATACAGTGCCTTTGAATTCTGGGTGCCGTCCCCACGAATCTGAGTAACTGTACAGAGTAATATATTTGTATTATCTTTATTTAACACTTATCGGTGGCTCATATTCACAGATCTTACAAGTACTTCGTAATTTCTATTTGCTCGCTTTCTTTCTGGGTAAAATCTCTGCCATCCCTGTGTGGTTGTGACTATGATGTCAATGGTCTTAATGTGAGGTAATGGCTGGGGCTTGTCGGACGAAGGTAGGTTTGCTACTTTGTGATGTACTTTCTTGTATATTTAGTTTGATATCGTTCTAATTGGACATCACTTATGTCACGCTTCCTATCGCATATCGCGAGTGATTCGAGTTTGCTCCAACCTATTTTTTCCGATGGCACTCGAGCACACCACAGAGGCACTCTTTTCTTGTCGAAATTTGTCAGAGTTACGGATTCTCTCTGTCATCTGCATGATACCAGACTCTCATATAATCACCATTTTGGTAACATTTTCGATAATGCTGGCCTCTTTACTTGCGCCTCATTAAGATTTTCAAATCCTCCTTTGAAATGGGAGGGATCATAGGATTGAGGAATTGTTATTAGTGGTTGAGGTTTTCTGAACTGTTCAGTAAGTCTTCGATAGTCTCTAAAGCTTAGACATTTGATGCTAAATATTGTACTATTTGGTTTCGGTAAACTTGGTTTTTCCCTGAGTTTTAACAAATAGCGCCTGCGATGCATAACGTGAAATGCGTTTGATGTGAAAATCATAGCTGTATTCAAATTTAAACAGAAAACCTCGCCTTGTAATGAACTTTTCTATTCTCAAAATAAAGGTGCAAGTTATCTTGCTTTATCAGGACGAAAATCTGGTTCCCTACTACCTATGGCACAGTCGTTTCATAATTTTACATCATAGTTTCTATTGCGAACACGGAAGCAGTTGAACGAGCGAGAATTCATCCAGCAAAAAATTGTGGTGTTCCACGTTTGTTCAGCGTTTGGTGCTGCCGTTATTTCTTCACAAATCTTGAAAATGTTATGGCACGGCGCCTCCGACCGCTGCGCCACACGCGCCCTTTGAAAATTCATATTACGCTCTTATTTTTTCTTAATGAACCTAATTCTGAACATACTTAAAATTACAGTGATGCCAGGTGGGAATGTTATACATATGATGGAGATTCGGAGATTAGAACGAAGAATATTTTAGAGATCTGTGAAATTGGCAACTCATCAAATGCTCTGTTGGTTGCGCAATTATCGCTTATTGTCCAAAATCGGTTTCGGCAGTTGAGTACTAGAAGTGGACGAAACATTGAATTCATTTAATTTGAATTCTCAAGCGCGTCATAATAATTTTTAACCAAGCCAGGATATTAAAGACACTTATGCGAAAAAATCATACACGAGATTTCAGAGTGATGAATGTGTAGAATTCCAGTGTCAGCCGCATCATTTCTCCGATTTCGTGCTGCTCACTGGTGACGCGGCCCACGCCATGGTGCCCTTTTACGGCCAAGGAATGAATTGCGTGAGTTCTCATCAAACTTGGGAGCATTTGAATCTCCAGACCGTTCGTTTTTCTGCTCACTGATTGCTTTTTTGACAAACTGGCGACTTTCGTCAGTTAAAAAGCGTGAATATCCTCTAATATAGCAAAACTCCAATAACGATAAATAGAAGTGCACAAATCCCAGGCCTGACTTCCTGTCAACCTCAGCTCTTCAGAGCCTAGAAAGGTTAAAATGGCAGGCAATCTTCGTTTTCAGTTAAACATTTTCATAACTTCACCAGAGAAAGCGTAAATACATGCACTTCAAAGTTCAAATTTCTATCTGCTGTTCATTACTTTTTTTTAACGGCAGGGTATAACGTGAAATACAACCACAGTGAAGCTGAGACATTTGCAAAGCTGGAATCACAAGTAACCATGCTAGGATAATAATAGCCCACCACTACACTTTCCGGGGACCCACGTGTTACCTACTGAGCCTAATGTTCCATCAGCAATCACGCTTAACAGGATTGATCTGGACAGCACAAATCGTCGTTGAACCCAGTTAGGCCGATACTGTAGCGGAAATCACGGTGTTCAACCTTTTACTACCCACATTGATTTTCGTATAATAAGCAGCAATGTCATCAGCTAATAAACAGCTTTTTAACATTTACTATTTGTTCTTTACAACTGCTTCACTTATTACTGAAATCTAGCCGCAAAGAGTCACACATGGGTCAGGAATATGCCTGGCTCAGGTCAAAAACCCAGGGAGTGTCACACGTCGTCACAAAACATTCCTCCTTGCGGTTCATTTTTCGATTTTAGACAAAATGCTTGAAGAGTTTAAAGTGCCAGTGTTTTGGATTCTTGTGTAAGGATAATGGCTTTTACTTTGAAATCTTCTCTGTTATGTCTCCGTATCCATTACACTCGTAATGGGGTGTTCTGTTTGACCTTAGAATTCTCAATTAAGTGCTCTTTTACAGGGGTGCAAGTTGATCTCTCCATTTTGCCATGACATTCGTCCCTAGACACTTTCTAAGTGATTTGGTGCACCGTCCTTTAACTCATGCAATCATCCGTCTTTGTAGTTAAGGAAAATTATACAATTTTGGACACATGGTCATGTAAGTGGTTACGAACCAGCTGGCATTCTGGAGTTTATCATTGTATTTCAATCAGTGTTACCAAATTCTGTAGGTAGGCGTTTCTTAAGAATAACTTTATATCTGTACTTGCTTCCCTACTCCGTTGGAAATAAACAACAGGTTAAACGAGGCCTTGTTTTCTTGGACTTGGCATTGGTGGCTTTGCAATTTTTTCAAACCTAAATGAAGCTACTCTTTCGCCGCCATTGGGAATGACTGTTTGTCGCGCCAATTTCATGTATTCTTCCTTCTGCTCTCCTCCTACGTGCACACACCGGGGGCTGTTCGAAAGTGTTTCTCACATCGGTACATCTTGTGTGTGAGTGATGAGAGAGGACATAATGGGCCAGCACGCTTTTATTATTTCTTTCGCTACCACTTAGTGAGGTACCTATCTTTGCATAAGTCAACGTAAGCATTCAGAAATGGAAGCCGGTTTTCTATTGATTTCCCTCGAGTGAAATTTATGTACTTCGATTGCTGATGAGTAATGCTAAGCTAAACATTTATCCATCTCCTCCTGTGTGGAGCAGACGACAAAAGAATCTTCTATGCACAACAAAAATCATACTGAGATATTTGCGAAACACTGGACCGCACTGCAGTGAAAAATTGCAGCAGGCATCAGATAAAAGTTAACATTGCGATTTCGATCACAGCTTCGGCTTAACTAGGTTAAATGCCCATTTGTGCTCCCTAGATCAATCCCGTTGGCGGGTGATTACTGATGGCACTGGCAGATAGAAAATTAGCTGAGAGAAAGGTGAAACGATTGACCCGCGTGGTGCGGTGTTGAACGCGCTAGCCCCGGAAAGGATAATATGGTGTTCGATCCCCTCCGCAGGCATCTGAGGGCGGGAGTTTTGCAATATCTCGGCATCGTTGTGGCTGTATTTCACGTAATACGCTGCTGGTTGTGAAGAATTGTGGTAAGCACTAAATAAAGTTGAACACTAATCATCTATATATTTACAGTAGACTAGTGGCTAGATCTATTACCCGAGTTTCCACTGTAGACACAAAGGCAATGCCAAGGATAGGTGTCAGCCGCTGTCTGGTTGCTGGCCTTCTAATTTGTCTGTCATATTTCTTGGACCACCTGAAGATTGAGCAGTTCAGCACACCTTTAGGAAGGCTTTGAGGTGCTAAATAAAGAATCCATCATGTTTATTACTCCTTAGTGTTGCCCAAGAAGCCTGCGGATGGTTTACATTGCGGAGTCATACGTTAGTATGAATGGAAGTAAGGTTAGGCTACTCCATAACGTACGCGCTACTAGGACTCCCGTTGCGCAGGTGATCCAGGAACATCTGGGTATTCGAGAGATAGGCTGACAGGTGTTTCAGCAGCTGGATGAAAATTAGGTTTATAAACTGAGCTATTCTATCCGTGGGCTGCCTTAACAGCTGGTGATGGTTCTAACCTTGAAGATTGAGAGGTCAGTAGACACCAGGTCATCTATGGGTGCTAACTTATGAGTCTTGATAAGTAAGTTTAAGAGGGGACATGATGATAAGTTGAAAAGCAACCTTTGAGCTGTACAGTTTGTTAATCTCATTCTTAATTTTCTGGGAAATCAGTATTTTCGGCGTTTAAGTGCATGGCAGATTAGTATAGTAATACAATTAGGTTAGACTGTTTCACGTACATCTATGGATAATCACTGGCGTTTTAGGGTTTCGAGGACTGTTTAGTGTTGAGTGAAACACTTGATGCCTGCAATGGCGACATATGTGAGTAACATTCCAAACTGCAATGGTTAAGGTGCTATGAGAAATGTCGTCATCAAACTACTCTTGGTGTTTTTAAGTCCTAGTTCTTCTTCCACAAATAAGGTTCACAAACTATATTGTTTTTATTGACCTCGTTCCAGGTAAGACACTTTCTATGTATTCTGAAAAACGAGTGAAAGATGCGCACACCATCATCGACTTAGCCATGTATAACTATGAAGAGGTAGAAGAGGAATTTCTCTGATATGACATCAAATTTATGATAAATCATTGTTCTTTCAGTTGAAAGATTTAGTAAATCATCCGTCGTATAAACTTCGAAAAAAGCTAGATCTGTTTTTGAATCGAATTTTTCCAAAAACATGGATCCCCCTCTATTCTATGGTCACATTCACAAGAATACCATACCACCAAGTAATGGAAGACCGGGGTTGGCAGGATAAGGTACGTTCGATTCAAAAGGGGTTCTTTTAGGACTTTTCTATAGAAAATAAAAACGAATTTCTTGCCTTTATTTCAAATAAATGTTGCACTTATTACTTACAAATCAATAAGACATTTTTTGCATTGATAAGCCAACACGTGGTTACTACAAAAATTTCGCAGTTACTAACGTTTCGGCGTCTTAGCCTTCTTCGGAGCCGCAAAGATTCAAGTCTCTTGTGCATAGCATTCGTTCTTAGAGCGTACGCTATTAGTCTTCTTTGTCGCTTTGAGTCGAATCGAAAGAAGTGGAACACCTCACGAATGAAGTAGCGTCATCCAGCGTTACCCTGTCATACAAAATGATTCCTACCGCTGGAATGAAGTGACCCTTTCCTGAAAGAACAATTGTTCATCAACTACTCAGAATTATTTGTCTCTATGGTGAAAAACCACCTGGTGGTAATCAGAACACTATTGTCTACCATATGTGGAAGCATTATTATTACGCAATAATAATAGTATAACTAAGCAGTGTTTCAAATTCCGAATCACTTGACCTCAAAATGGGTAATCAACATCTTATGTCTGATACGCAACCTTACTCCATTTGATTCGACGGTTCTATGAAGGCTCTCATACGAAGCAGCAGCTGCTTTAGACACCCGTCTCTAACCATCGCGGTTCCGAAGAAGGTAATAGCGGCGAAATGCTAGCCGTAATAAAGATTTATAAAATTTCCGTATAAGTTTCACAATACAAGAGGTATTGATTAGCTATACTAATGTTAAATGGAGGCTAGCTTACAAAAGTGTTAATAAAACACATTGGGATAAATTTCAGGTGTTGAAGAAGATCAAGTATTCTACAATGAACATCATAGCACTCTTAACCATTCTTGGAGTGTACGTCGCGAGAAAACATGGAAAGCTTCACTTGAAATAAAAATTGTATACTATTATAAAACGTAAAGGTCGTATTTTGTTGTCTCTGTGGTTGTACTCGTCCACCTGCCGGATGGTTCCATGTATAGAGTTCCACTCAAAGTTTTGCCAATATCATTTTATTATAGCAAACTGCTTAACGTAGTTATGGCTCGAATTGTGTTTTTGGACGAAAACAGCCATTATTTGAACAATTCACACAGATCGGTCTCTAATAATATGTTAAATATGTTACGTTCATTTTAACCGACAGGTTTTAGGTTTCTCAACAACAGTTGATTTTTCAAATATTCCATTGTTGTACTTTTATTTCCGTAAATACAGCATGTTCTAAACAAAGTTTCTCGGCATAATAACGTTGTATTAGGGTGTAAAAAAAAGGTAGACAAAATAAAGGGTAAAGCTCTGGACGTTGATCAATCCCTCAGTGCTGCACCATGCATTCGACTTCACTAAGCGTCTTTAGAGGTGAATGAATGCATATCTGGCTTTTACACTTACTCGCAGTGACCTATCGACGTATCGAGCCAGTGCTGCTAGCCTCCCAGGCAAGTCTGGTACCAATTTACCGAGTCCGGAGGAATGGAAGGCTTTGTAAACCTGAGGCGGGGAGATCAGTCCGATGTGCATTGCACGGCGCTTCTAACTGATGCGCTACACGCACGCTACAGGAACCAAACTGACGTAAACAGAGAGATCTGACAATACTATGGCACTGAAATGATTCACGCCCATTTTGGAGAACATCTGGTCAGGATTGGAAAAAGATGAAATAGAAGTGAAAGACGTTGCACGGAAAGTGCAGCGCTTTTGCCTTATAGATGACAATGTTCTTATGACATCGTAAGACAGTGAGGCGAGAGGAATTACCAGAAAGTATGCAATAATAGGTATTAACAAGCGAAATTTTTTGCGAGGCTTCAAGTCCTACAAATAGAATGAGCATTAGACGATTTCAACAATACTTTTCGAAAGTCGTTCTTCAGTTAAATCTCATGAAAACGATTTACTGGAAACGTAGTCATTTCTGACGCCTTATTCAGTTTCAGCAGAAAGGGTAAAATTGAATTCTCCAGCTGCTTTTCGTTCGAATCATTTTTCTCCCTGTCTTCGCATGAGCCTCAAAAACCTAGGGCGAAAGGTGAAAGATCATTCAGTACTATTGAGGCGTATGTGGTCTTGCGCATTTATACCAATGCACAAATCTTTCTGTCTGGTTATTTTCCCTCAAGTAGTTCTATGACAACAAAGTTAATATTGGTATATAGTGACCACATACAATAAGAGAGAACACCTTGGATTAACTACATGGTGCATCACACATGACGAACAGGGGGCGAATACGATATTGACTCACGGGGCTAATTAAATGTCTTCTGGACGAAGCGGTGCTTTGGCACAGGTCCAGAACTTTCACCGAAGACATTCGTCGACTTTCTCATACAGCTCCTTCGTGATCAGATGACTTAGGACGATTTCCAATGCAACTTCATGCCTGTTGTGTTATCGTCCTAGTGATGGTTTGGAACAGAAACAACACACAAAAAGTTTCGATTGCATAAAAAGAGTTCCTAGGATCGACTTTCTATTAACCTCGGTATTGGGATATGAATGCGTCGTCCTGTTCAGCAATCGCGAGGGTGTTAAACAGCATACATTTGCTTCCATAGAGAAACACAATACAATACCTTTCTACTTCTGTTCAGCAAGCACGAGGTGCTATTTTATTTCTTTATTTACGCACAAGCTGACGTTTCGGCGGATTTCGCCTTCCTCAGAGCCTGGAAGGGTCAAGCTGACAGCAATCCACTCGGCCAAACACCTCCATAACCAAACAGAGAAAACGCCTAACCAAGATTTCAATCACATTTAGCATAGCTCTGAACACTCACCGCTTTCTATGAGTCTTCCACTGAGTATATCGCGCGAAGACCGACCGCACAGAATTCACATGGAAGCGTAATGTGCCCCTCCCATCAGAATAACAGGTTTATACACTGTCCAATATCACGCGTGATGACGAGGCATTCCATCCTGCGGTGATGACTGCTTGGTCATTTGTTCAACGCAAGAAGAAATCGACAGATGTTTCGAGTTGTTGAACACACAGTCAGCGTATATTAAATTCACCCGAGAGAAACCGAAAGAAGACTGGATTCCATTTCTGAACGTGCAAATTAGCCTATCAGAAAACGGCTACATTACGAAGTGGTATCGAAAGCCAAGTAGTAAAAACATCCTAGTTCATTACCTCTCCTCTCATCCCTCTCACACGAAAAGGGCGCTTGTGAGAAACATGTATCGAACGGCTACCAGCGTGTGCACAGGGAGACAACAGAGAGAGGAGTCCTGGAACTTGGCACGGCAAATAGCCATTTTTAATGGCTACGAAACCGTAGCTCCAGATAGGTGTAGAGGAAACCACAGGTACCCCAACGATAACTTTAGCGACAACAAGGTTCTGTTTATACTGCCCTTCATTTCAAATGAAGTAAGTGCAGCTATAAAACGCAGTTTAAGAAGGACCAGTCAAGAGAATTCGGTAACGATAATCGAAATACCACCGAATAATCTAAGGCGCCAGCTAGTTCGTAACCGCCTATACAACCGTCTATGTGCAACGCAAAATTGCATAATTTGCCCCAATGGTACAGACGGTGACTGCATGAGTTCGGGTACAGTCTATCTGATCTCTTGTAAAGTGTGCGGGGACGAATACGTTGGCGAAACGGGTAGACCAATCTGCGTACGTATAAAAGAACACCTAGTCGTCAAACGTAAGCTAAGTACTTCACTAGGTACGCATAGCACGCAGAAACATAACGGAGAAGATTTTGAAGTAAGGGTTACGATCCTCGCGCAAGAATCGAGAACACAAGCGCGCAAAACTCTAGAGGCATTCTGGATTAATTCCAAGAATCGGAAAATGAACTCCAGGGAGGAATGCTTCATTATCACGCGTGATATTGGACAGTATATAAGCCTGTTATTCTGATGGGAGGAGCAGATTACGCTTCCATGTGAATTCTGTGCGGTCGGTCTTCACGCGACATACTCAGTGGAAGACTCATAGAAAGCGGTAAGTGTGCAGAGTTGTGTTAAATATGGTTGAAATCTTGGTTTAGCGTTTTCTCTGTTTGGTTATGGAGGTGTTTGGCCGAATAGATTGCTGTCAATTTGACCCTTCCAGGCTCTGAGGAAGGCGAAAACCGCCGAAACGTCAGCTTGTGCGTAAATAAAGAAATAAAATAGCACCTCGTGTTTGCTGAACATAAGTAGAAAGATATATTCAATCAATGCCGAGGTTAATAGAAAGTCGGACTTGGGAGTTACTACAATACAATACAACAATAGTTGACGTTTCGGCAGTATCGCCTTCTTCAGAGCCTGGAAGGGTATACTGATATACAATCTACTAGGCCAAACGCTTCAATACCACTTTCAAAAAGACGAAAAACTCTATGGTAATTACATGATCAACAACTTTTCGAAAAACTCACCGATTTTTTACGTGACTTCCAATGAGGAATACTAGAACAGCTGATTATAGTCGTATATGGTTGATGACTGCACCACCGAACATCAGAAATTGATGCGAACATACGGGGTCAGGTCGCGTATGACCTCCGGGCATTAATCCCAGCTATCAAGGAGTTTTCGCGCTGGTGTTTTAGTCTCCTATGCAAGGATATTGACTTTTACTTCAAAATCGTCTCCGCTATGCTTTTGTATCCTATGCGTGCCTAGTGGGGCACTTTGCCTTAGTTTTCGTTTGCCATCTAGGTGTTCTTTTATATGGACACACAAAGGTCTGCCCGTTTCTCCTATATATTCATCTCCACAATTATTACAAGAGATCAGGTATATCGTACCTGAACTCATGCAATCATCGTCCCTGCCGTAAGTGCAAATTAAGCGATTTGTTGTTTCACGTAGACGTTCATACAGGCGGTTACGAACCAACTGACGACAAAGAGTATTCGGTGGTATTTCAGTTATCGCTACCGATTCCTCTAGATCTGCCCTTTTTAGGCTTCGTTTTATAGTTATGCTTAATTCCTCGCTAATAAAGGCAACATAATCGGGACTTTCTTTTGGCCAAGTGTTTCGTTTCGGCGCGTCGCTCGCCTTCTAAACTTATCTCGTGGGGTAACTATTTCCTAGCCATTGTAGCTGGCAATTTGCGGAGCCAAGTCGCGCGATCCTTCCTTTGACAGTTCCCAGAATCGACTTTCTTTTAACCTCGGCATTGGAATATGAATGCGTCGCTCTCTTGTCCAACAATCGCAAGGTTGTTAAGCAGCATACATTTACTTTCATAGAAAAACACAATACGTTACAACAGTAGCTGACGTTTCGACAGTATCGCCTTCTTCAGAGCCTGGAAGAGTACACCAATACGCAACTTAGTAGGTGAAACGCTTCAACACACAAACAGAAAGATGAGAACTGAACGATAATTACAAGATCTACGGCTTCTCGAAAAACCCACTTCTTTTTCACCTGTCTTCCACGGAGGAAGAACAGCAGCTCAGAGCCGCATATGGTTGACGATTGCACCACCCTACATCAACGACCAGTGCGAAGGTAAGGGGCGAGATCACGCGCGGTCTCGGGGCATTCCTCCCTGCTGTTCATTGTAAGGTTTTTGGCATTTATCCAAAAAGCCTCAAAGACTTTGCGCGTTGGTGTTTTAGACTTCCATGTGAGGATAGCGACTTTTACATCAAAATCGTCTCCGCTATGCTTTTGTATCCTATGCGTCACTAGTGGGGTAAAAAAAGCGATGGGTTTTTCGAGAAGCCTTATATCTTGTAATTATCGTTCAAATTCCCATCTTTTTGTTTGTGCTGTTAAGGCTTTGACCTAGTAAGTTGCGTATTAGTGTACCCTTCCATGCTTTGAAGAAGGTGATACTGCCGAAACGTCAGCTACGGTTGTGTTGTATGTGTGTTATTGTATGGAAGTTGATATATATTTTTTACTTGTCAACCTCGTGTA